CCCCAAAGGACCCCGAGGGCTGGGGCGGCAAGAAGCTGCTGCGCCGCGGCGTCGGCCACGTCGGCGCCCTCGCCACGCGCCTCGCCCGCATGCGCATGTCCGTGCCCGGCGACACCGCCAACCGCCAGGCGCTGCTGGCGGCGACGCGCGAGGGCGGGGTGGGGCTGCTGGCGAGCTGCTGGGACGACGACATGGCCCGGCGGCTGGCGTCGCTGCAGGCGAGGATGGGGGTTATCCTTGTTCTTGGTTCGATGTTGCTCTGCAGCGCCTTGCATCTGGCGCGGCAGCTTCCTGGCTGCTGCTCGTCCAACGGTAGACGCAGGGTCGCAGCGCCCCGCTCGTCGCGCCGACAGGACGGGGCTGCGCACGGAGAGGCTCGGCGCGCCGCTCGGGGCCATTCCTCTTCTTCCCACCCCCTTGTGGCCCGCGCACTGTGGACCGCCCCCTTCCCTGCTGCGCCGGATTCACACGCAACCCATTATTCATCCTGCTCATACTGCGTCCCTTGTTTGAAACCCCGATACGTTCAATCTCATGGCGCTTCAGTGTCACGGACCCCGCTCACTCCCTTGCCCTCGCTGCCCTCGAATCCTGGAGACTCCTCCCACCCATATTTCCATCAATCCCCCAATCCCTTGCTAGCAACCTCCAACACCCCCCATAAAAACACCCCCCCTCCAAAAAAACAGGACGAGCTGGCCTACCTGCTGCCCCACCCCGCGGGCATGAACCCCAAGGCCTTCCGCAACCGCTACTCCCGCACCCCCCGCGCCCTCGGCGGCGGCGCCACCCACACGCGCCCCGTGCCGCCGGCCGCCAACGGGCTGCTGATGGGTGATCTCATATGGCGCTTCGTGGGGCTCGACCTGAAACAGCAGGCGCGGGTGGCGGCGGCGCTGGGCGTGGCGCGGCACGACGTGCTGGCAGACCTGCGGGCGCTCGCGGCAGCGACGGCGTTCCTCTGATGACGCCTTTCGCGCGGCTCGGCACGCCACCGCGCGGCCCGCTGCGCGTGTGTGCGCGCGTTTTTGCTCGGGTGGCTGTGGGTGTTTGAGTTGTCTTGTGGTTTGAGGGTTGTGCCAGATAGGGCTCGGCAAGGTTTTTTTGTGCTGCTTCTTTATGGTTCTTGGTGGTGTGTGTATGTTTGTACGTGTGCATATGTATTGTGTGAGTGTGTGTGTGTGTGTGTGTGTGTGTTGACGCGCACGTGCGTATGCGCCTGGATGCACACGCAATGTGCTTGTGTGCACGCCTGAGCGGTCTTCGTGATGCGTCGGCCATTCTTGTCAGCAGCTGCCGGCGCACCCCGCCCGCTGTGAACCGCGGGCCCATGGTCACATTCCGACTGGCCGGGCCCGGCCCGGCCTCAAAGCGCCTGGCCACGCGATAGGCGCCACTGGGCGCGGGTCTGTGGGGCGTTGTCAATCAGTCGCCGGGCTGCCTCGTGGATTGGAATCATCCAGGGGGGGTGGGGCGCCAACAGCACAGCCTGTCGATGGGGGGATGGGGATGAACACCACGGCCTGTTGGGGGGTCCCTGGGTCAGCACAGCCTCTCCAGTGGAGGGGGGGTCAACAGCAGGGGCTTGTCAAGGAGGGGGTCTGCAGCTTGGCCTATGCAGAGGGGGTCGGGGCTTGCTCAGCGCAGTCTGCTGGGGCGGCCGTTGCACGCCTGGGGCAGCCTGAGCGAGAGAGAAGCTTCCGTCATCCCGAGCCATCAGGTCCTCGCTGGGCATAAAGGGCTGCTGGTCCAGTCGCTTGCATGGTGTGGAGTCCTGGGTCGCCGCGGGCTGTGCTGTGCGGCAGAAGTGTCAGGCCATCTAGCAGGGCGGCCTTTGGGGGTGCCAAGGGGGGGTGGGGCGGACGTCAGCAGCGGCCGCACGTATCTGGGGCCCCTTGGCGCAGGGCGATTAGTACCGTTTTGGGGCTTTGGGGCGCCGGGGTTTGTGATCAGAGCTTCACATGCAGTCGTCTGCGATTTGTCCAAGTGAATTGCTTCGCAACCGTTTGGGTTGGCTTGTGGGTGACATTGCCACCCACTGGCTAGCATGGCAATGCAAGCCACTGGCCCCCGCTGGATGGCACCTCGAAAGCAGGCTCTCTGCTCTGACGCCTCTTTACTTTACATATTTTGTGTCATTGTGTTGACCGGCAATTGTTGCCTGCCGCCACACAAACCCCATGCGTACAACACCGTTTGGTCCTGTGCCTGAGTGCCAGCTGAGCAGAGTCACCCAGAGCTGTGGTCTGGTGACAACCGGAACGAACCCCGGCCACACCGTAGATGCATGCGAAACATCAAGGTCTCAAATATTCCAGGAAGCCCCGTTAGAAGAGATCGGTGGCAGCGTCCATGGATTGGCTCTCCCGGACCAACCACTAGCGACGTCCTTACGGCATTAAAATACTGCTGATGCAATGTGCTTGACGTCGAGACTGTCGTGGGTCGTGGTGCTGGCCCTCCTGCAGACTGTGCCTGCACTCGCCGGGTGCAGCGCCCGGTTTGAATTGGTTGCGGGGCAGGCTGGCGGGACGAATTTGACGTTCTGGGGAACCAGGTAAGGATCGCTGCTCGAGGAGCCGTGCCGCTCGCGACGCAGCTGCCCGGCGGCGCATCCGAGGCGACGCCGACCGCTCGCGCGCAGGGGGGGGGCTCGGCAGCGGGACCGGGATGCGAAAGGGCCCCATGCAGCACGATTGCGGGCGCCGCGGTGGCGCCCGTCTCGCATCCTGCCGCCCCTCGCCTGCAAATGCCCCTAAAGCCTCAGGCCCCATGGCCAGCCAGTGTCTGGCCTGGACACCCCCACACCCCAGCAAGCCCCCACTCGTACGCCCTCGCCCACACCCCACAACACAACCTCGCAGCTCATACTCTTTAGTAAAGGGCGGCAGCTTCCCGGTGAAGCTCACCGACCCCTCAACCCTCGTCGGCCTGACCGGCGCCGTCTTCGCCGCCGCGCCCGCCGCCGCTGCCTGCCCGCCCGGAGCCGCCGGGTGGCGTGCGCTCGCGGCGGCGGGCGGGCTGGGGCTGTCTTCGTCCCCGTCGCAGTACGTCTACTCCCCGCTGCAGATATTCCCAGACATGCTGTACGCAAATGTATTCGGGGTCCCCCTCAACATCAGTCACTTGGCCTTGAACCTGACACTCAGCCCATCCGCCACGGCTGCCGCGGGCGACAAGGCGCCGGTGCCGATGGCGGTTGAGGCGCAGATTACTCAGGGTTTCGTGTTCAGCAATACCTCAGTCACCGGCGGCCCGCAGCTGACGCCGTTCAACATCACCCGACAGTTTGCGGGTGACGCCCTTGCGGAGTTCTCAGAGGTGACAGACGGCGGCCGGCGGTACGTTTACGTAACCCTGCCGGCGTTCAGCGTAAACTTCTCGTCCGCCACGTCATCGGCTTTCAGGGGATCGGGGACGATGGATTTCGGCTTCAAGGGCCGCGTGGTGATGCGCGCGCCGCTCGGCTGCGCGCGCGACTGCGGCGCCCACGGGCGCTGCGTCGCGCCCGCGGCCGCCAACGGGACGGCCAAGCCGGCGCCGACGACGCCGGCGTGCGAGTGCGAGTGCGGGTGGGGGCCGTCCCCGGCCGACGGCGCGTGCAGCGTGCCGCTCGGCTACTGCTCGCCCTACGGCGGCGCCGCCGCGGTCAGCGCCGCGCCGCCGCGCGCCGCCC